CATTTGGCAAATACTAAGTGATCGTAAAACTGTTTAACCCTATTTAACTATATATTACAATGAAAAATTTGTTATCAAAGAGAGAAAAAAAAAAGGATTTTAATGACTGATTTCATACAATATTATAAAAGTTATGAAAAGTACAATTTTACTTTTTACACTTGTGCAATTACATACACGCATATTTAAAAAAAAGTGTGTTTGTGCGTGTGTTATAAAACATCTTTTAACCAAATTCCATAAACAGATCAATTACTGAACCTTATTAAGATTCAGAACGTGAAATGAAAAAGAAAACTAACATTCTACTTTTAAATTTAGCTTTCTTTAGCGCCCCTTATCTGTTTAATATCATGTTGTAATTTCTTTTGGGAATGACCCGGTCGGCTCTTGTACATATCTTACGTAAATCCTTCGCCGTCTTTATCTTGAGCAGATTTACTTTAGAGCCGGGAAAGACTGTTTCTGTCGCAGGCCCGCTTTTTGTAGGACGCATTAATTTAATGCCGAAATGGGCCTAATGTCCGATCTTTTATGACAAAATTATCCATTCCTTTTCGATTTCAAAAGAATAAAATAACACGAATCGGTATTACATTACATTTGTATCAGAGCTGATAAAATTATTGGGTCAAAATTTATCATCTGTAAATAAACAGTAAGAGTCTACAAAAAAAAAAAACCACAAGACCAAAGAAAAAAAAAATGTTTTAAACAAACGAAATCGTTTTAAACAATGTAAAAGGGGAAGCTCCAACCTGACAAAGGACGTAACGTCCGGCCTAAAACTAAAACTTCCACCGAGAGAGTTATTATTGATATAAGGAAAGTATTGTAACATTCGAGTGCTCTCGGAGCTTCAACTTTAACGTGACTTTTCTGTTTGTTTTGCCCATTTTGTCTTTGTGTCCTGAGAACTAATGTTTGTATTACAAAAGTGACTCCCAACAATTTCATGAGACAGATCGAGGACGCGTTCTTGGAATGGTGAGTGAACCTTTTAGAACCCATTTATCTATACAAATAAATAAAATAGGAGTATCTATTTGTAATATTAAAATAATTTGTGTACAAAAATATTTTTTTAAATGATTTGTCTATTTGTTCCGGCTAATCTTTGAAACGTTTGGACCGATTTTTATAGGATTTTCACTGGCAGATATCTTGTGCAATAAGGAATAATTTAGGCTTATTTTCACGCGGACGAAGTCGCGGGTACAGCTAGTTCTCTATAAAATTTATATCTCTATTATGTAAATTAAATATTAGAATACAACAAAAGTTATAGTAGATTTTAAACTTGATACCTATAGATTTACAGAGAAATATAATGATAAACTAGAAAGTAGAAACGAAGAAATGATAACCTTCGTAGCCGATTGGTCCATACGCCGATTTTCAAGGTGTCGCCATCTCTGAGGTTCCTGATTCTTTTCTTGATGTAAATGTATAAAATGGACCTTTCTATATTGTCTCGGATCTTGGTGTTTGGCTTCGTTGTGTCAGGTACTCCATAATACGGGGACTTTTACTAATCATCTTGGAATCTGAGCAATGTATGTGATATTGCGTAATTTCTTTTTTATTATTTAAATATTAGATCTTCTCCCACTACAAGAAAACGTGAACCAACGAACTGGAATCAGATGCTCAGAATGTTTCCGATACACGCGTTTCACGTTTTAACAACACCGAATGCTTTTAGCCGAATATTTGGCTTTTGTAACTTCACTCCAAAGAGCGGGAGCGACAAAAGCACCTAATATAACAGCAAGAGTTACAGAATTGGTTTTTGTAGTGTTAGAGGAAAATTTTCAGTGTGTGAAATAATCAAATACAGCATTATATTCCTGGATCACAATAAGCTACATTTAATTTGCTTTAACATCACATGACTACTTCTACCTGAATCTTCATGCCTATAACTTACGCTAGGATATGTAACTAAGACTTTTTTCGGATAAAAGAAAAAAAAATTTAGAGCGATTTTAGAAACCACTTCTGTCAACCCTGCATACATACGCACCAGTTACGTAAAGAATACCCTTGGGATAACTTTATTCTCTGTTTGTATGTTCACTCCAAATATTTTCTCAGATAAAAGCATCACCTGTAGGTTCCTTAGTGTTCTTTGTAAGTCTTTTTTATAAATTATTTCGGTAAGTTTTGTGAGGTTTTTACTTTGGGAATTGATTTTTACATTAAATAATTTTGTCATATACACAGGATGTTTAGTGCTTGGACTGACATAATATTTTGGGAGATTTGTATGGTCATTAACTATGTTTTAACTGTGTGCTTCATGTTTCAAGTGTCACGATTCTTGAAATATGTTTTTTTCGTTATTTTTATAATATTACCTTTATAAAATAGTAACCTTAATTCAATTATCTGTTTGTAAGAAAAATAACTCAAAATATTTTTATTGCATTCTTTAACGTATACATCAATCATACAACCAATTAGTATCAAGAAAAATTTTACTTGCTCCTAAAGTCTTAAAAAATTTTAAATGGATCCAAATTAACAACTTCTAATTTTATTCAAATCCTAACACCTGCGAGTTAAGTTGTATAAACTTCCAAATCTTCAAAAACTTTTATTGGTTCGTGCACCAAGGACCCTGTATAATACCTATGATATACACTTAACATTTTAACTAAGGTATGAAAGAACAAAATTTCAGTAAAATATTGACACATTTGCCATTTACACAAAAAAGTTTGTTGAAGTATACAAGAAGGATAAAAACAATAACGCTCAAAAGTAAGATCTCCCAAAACTGTATACATACGACTATCCCTAAATTGGTAACGATACAAAGAAAAGCCAGGAAATAAATATACGTAAGTCGTAAGGTGTTAATTACTGCCTTCTAATAGCTGTGATCAAAGTAATAGTAGGTTAGAAAGCATAAAGCGGAAGACGATAACAGGAATTAAAACAAATGATAAATTGTCTGTCAATAATGCTAGTTGTCTTTGGTTACCTTAACTTTTGTATTCTCGTATACATAGTTGTCGAATTTGAAAAATTATTACCTAATCAATGCAATTAGCTCACGTTGTTTCTGCGTGAAAAACTGCAAAATAATAACGGGGATAGATATCATACTTTTAATATGGAAACTTTTCAAAGCCTTTTCACACTAAAATTTCTAATTTCTAAATATCCTATAATAGAGCTGTAAGTATTGTTTCAATAAATCTATTTTCTAACTAGGCGTTTATCATATTTTTTGGAATTGTCAGGCTTTCACACAAGAATGAGAAAATTATCTCCCTCTTCTTTTACATATTTAAATTGATTTCGATCGCTAGAAGACTTTAAAAACTCTAACACCGCTATTTTAAATTCATTCTCAATACCATTAACAAAATGTACACAATCTCAAGGTATGTTTAAAGTTTGATATAAAAGGATTGGTGTCTAGTATTTAAAAAAGTTTGAATATATAAGCCATATTCAACTTTACAACTTTGTATTTATTTATTGACAATGCCAGCCACTTCTTTGATATTTAATATATGTAAAATTAAAAACATCATTAAAAACAAACAACACTAAAAACATCACAACTGTTCGTAAATGTTTAATGGCTTTCTTAAGGTAGGTGCATATCTGATTGAAGATATAGAGCGTGTCGTCGGACGGGGAACGTCAGAACTGTCAATTTTTGCATACCTGTTACATACTAGATTATCGGTTGCATATTTCAGTGAGATGCATGACGGATTTTTCGTCAGACTTGCATCGACGTTTAGACTTCTCATCAATGTTATTTTTGTTTCTTATATTATCTTAAGCTACTTTAAAATTTTCAACGTTGACCAATAAACAAGGTCTAACCAAACGGATAAACGAAGTTCATTACAAATTCCCCACATGTTTCGCCCGTCCCTTTCTACGTAAGGACATTCTTGTAATGTATGAATGCTGTCGTGAGATATTAAGATACTTAATAATGTCTAAGCCGCTTTGTTATATCTGTTTTGTTTGAAGAAGGACGGTGGGTCGGAGATTTGAGAAAAGCCTTATTTAATCGGAGCCTTTTGGATTTTCTGGCTGGGATGCGGCTTTACTGTATTCCTTTTATTTTCGCTTCATACGATTTTGTTCTGCTATTTTAAGAAATGGGTTGTAATATTAAGCAATCTGTTATTGAAACAATTATATGCTAAAATTTACGTTACCAAATTTTAAATAATGTCAAATTGAAACATATAAATGTAGGCGTATGTATTCAATATAGTGATAATCATAATAACAACTTTTTTAATTTAAAGAAACATTAACTGATATCTATCATACTAACATATTTGAATAGTTACAAATAATTCCACTCTAATGAAACCACAGGCAGAGGTATCTTATTCATGAGTAGCGTTTATGTACCTCAGATCGCAATCTAAAATTTACTCGTAAAAGTGTCGTATTGGGGTCGAAAATTAAAAAAGACGCTTTTTAATCCTGTTGTTTTACTAACACTAATACATTAAAATCAGTCATTGTACAGGACTTAAAAAAAAGGTATTGGGTCAACAACCAAAAAGGTAATTACTACTACTTATAGGCTTAGAACGCACAGTGCCGATACACGCAATTTGGGTATGGCTGATATTGGAAAGCCGTAAGGTACCTATGCACCTTGAGACACTCATTAAAGGTCTGCCAATGATTGCGCACGTGTGCATCTTCGGACTAGGGCAGTACCCGGACCATTCTACCGGACTAGGACTCACCTAGCCCGGTAAAAGGGTCATCCAACATTCAAGACGATATGATAGACAAATAGTTCAATTATATAATGGAATTATAGACTCAATTATTTCGTCCGTCTAATATATTAATTTATTCTCATTGCGCAATACTGATCTGCTTACAAAACAAAACACCATTTTGCCCATTCACCTTACATTACTCTGTTACAGACTTGCGTTTGTAAAAACATTGTTAATAATAATATACTAAACAACTTAATGCGAAAGACTAATGTTTACCTGAAATAACGGTGTTCTGCGTGGCCGATGGTGACGTCACTGCCAAAACAAGGAAAACAACCAGTGTCCCTTGCACACATCCGCCGGCAATATGCATCGTTTTATTTGCTAGCTAACATTAATTTTTTTATTAAATATTTACACTTTAACATGTACACTTCGCTTCCCCTACACGTGTTTGCACCGCATGTTCCAATCTGAAACAAAAGAGGAACATTTGTTATGACATTTTATTTTCATCTTTGATTCTTTGTGATGTTCACATAATTTTTTTTTCACTTTGATCATTTTCTATCAAAGCATGTTTGTTAGTGTACCGGCTTTACAAACCGCCGCTTTCTTTACCTTTGATCACAGTGAAAAGGCTTACTTAACCGATAAATAAGTATTATTAAAATAATTTATATTTTATATTTGCATTACTACATTTTTACTTTTATTGTTACGTTGCAAAAGAATATTATATATAATCGCTTGTGATACACAACATTTCTTTTAGAAACATAGGTACTAGTTGACATATCCCTAAAAAACAATATTTAATTCAAAACAAAACTAGGTGTCATACACTTACACGGCAATGCTCTAACCCAGCGATTGACTTCTTATTTGAATTTAACCATTAAATTGCATTTCATCAATAAATTTCGTAATTTTAATGGCGCTAAAAGCTAATGGCGGGCTTCAAAGTTGTTAGATATTGCTTACAGCCAGCGTGTAGACACTTAAGGCAAGCCGCCCACTAGGCGCATCGTTACCGGTAACAATAGTTTGTAACTCGCGGTATACGAGCTGTAGTAAATGCGCTGGTAGCTAACAGTTATCATAATAGGGATGATGACTGGGTAAAAAAAATCTATTTAGTCTGTCAGGCAGATAATAGAAAAATATAAGATACTTATTTTTTTTTCTTCAATTTACCAAGTAATGGTTTAGATAATAGACATTGAAGTTGAGGCGTGGGGGCTCACTACCTCACAAGTATTTATAAAATATGCAAAGGTGTGACGTCATGCAACGTTTCAACTCAATGTATAATATGTGTACTCAATGTATAATGTGTGTTTTCGAATCATTATTTTGCACAATAATACTAGAAGTTGCTCTTTATATTTGTTTTATAGCAAGGGTACCAAAAATATTTCCTTTAAACTTATCTTCAATGACGTGTGACACATTTACTTCTTGCGTAAAGTAATAAAACCGATGAAACTTTTTAAACGATTCATATTCATAGTAATTATATCCAAAGATAATATTCCTTGAAATAAGTGTTCTTTTTAAATTTATTTATGTGTTAACCGAAGTTCTAACATTCAACTAATGAATATATGATGAGGAAGTTCCTCAAAGTGTCATCAAAAAAGTTTTGAAGTCACTAGTTGTTAATCAATTAAAAGCAAATTTACGTTCACGCGTATTAGTTATACTTGAGTTACGGAAAGTTATGACTTTTCGAGAGTTTAATAAGCTTTATCAAAGAAGCGTGTGAGTAGATGGAAGAGTCGCACACATGTTGTAACATGAACATTAGGATTTAATCGATTCAAATTGATGTAAAAGGATTTATAATACTTCAGAATATAATCTACAGCATAATGGAATATTTTAGCAATTCGTTAACTAATAATAATAATTGACATTAGACGACATAAAATACATTAAGGAGCTTTTTGAACTCTTGTGTTAGGTTTAAATTAATCTACATTAATAATTACCATAATTTTGAATAAGAATAATAATTTCGTCTGTCAATACTTTTAATATAATTTATGGATTAGAGTGGCAACACTGAAGGAACAAAGACCGATATAATTTAAAAGGCGGGATTCTTGATCCAGCTTGCAACGAGGTAGGACGGAAAAAGTGTTGTTGGTGGATTGTGGAGTTTTTCTACGAACAAGGAGCAATAAAAGTGTAATTACAAGGTAACCATGTGTTTTTATTATAATAACAATCTCAATATAGCTTATTGAAGGATTAACCTTACATTTCAGAAGTGGGATATGCCCGTTATTATTATCCAATTAAAGATTTTTAGCTTATTTTTTTTGCATGGCTAAACGAAGTAAGATAAATGTTAATAATCAAGTGACGTCATTACCTAATAAAGTCAGTTGTAAGTCACAAATAATTAATTTATATTGAATTTCAAATGACATGCTTTTGTTAATGTCGTTATTACTGGTAAGGTCTTGAGTTACTTTCACTGGTCGTTTTGTCAGCCAAAGATAATCTGAACTGGAGGCAAATATATATATATATAAAGCAATTCTAATAAGTTTATTAAATACAAATTATTTGGCGTTGACTTTGAAAAGTCTATGAATATTATGCATATGTTGCCTTTTTGGCTCTAGTAAGTTAATAGTAATGTCTGTTTTACCAATCAAATCACAGAAAGTAGATTACACAATAAGAAACTTAAAACTCGATCTCTCAAGGACATCTGAAGGTCAATTTTTTTTTGTAGTTCGAATTAGTCTGCGAGGTGTATGGGGGTCTACGGGGGTGCCAAATTAGGTTATTTTTTAGCTACGATTCGTCGTTTAGGAGTTATAACCGCTTGTACTATTTTTGTAGTGTACTCAGCTTGATGTTATTAATTCAGTGAATGAAATGTTAATCCAACTTGTTTCGAGTTTCAGAAAATGCCACGTGATAGCGTGACTTCTCCTCGGCGGCGTCGGCTAAGCACGCCGAAAAGTCGCGACCGAAACCGTAGTCGCAGCCCTATCCGAGAAGGTGAGAAGTCACTGCTACCGAGTGAACGGGAACGCAGTCATAGAAGCCAGAGCCTGCACGAACAGGAACTAGAACTGGAACGTCAGCGACAAATACTTCGCACACTTGAAGAGAAGGTAGTCAGGGAGCGTAGTCAGCTGCGTCGTGCTGATCCTGAACGCCGAGCATCCACGCGAGATGAACTGGAGCGACGTGGTCGGGACCTTGGGGATCGCCGAAGGAGCCCAGCACTTCAAGGTGGAGCGTCAGTACGTCGTACAAGGTCACGTAGTCCTACTTTTACTTGTAAAGACGTAGCTAATATTATAAATTCATTGAAACCCCAACCAGCGACAGCAAGCACCTCTCAAAATTCCAGCAATTCTATCACTCATAAAAATATACTACCCGATTTCGATCCATCAAATAAAAATCAAAGAACTGATGTTTGGCTTAGAAAGGTAAACGAGTGTGCTACTGTATATGGTTGGGATCAACGAACTACGGCTCATTTTGCAATGCAGAAACTCCAAGGTTTGGCCAAAGTCTGGTATGATAGTCAGAACACAATTTTATTTGATTGGCCTGAGTGGCAAGAAAAACTTTTGATAGCATTTCCTTGCGAACAGAACTATGGTCAAATTTTGGAGGATATGCTTCGAAGGAAAAGTAGATTTAATGAGCCTATTGAGGTGTACTACTATGAGAAGTTAGCTCTATTGAACCAATGCGATATATACGGTAAACGCGCAGTTGATTGTTTAATTCATGGCTTAAACGATAAAACAATGAAATCTAGTGCTAACGCAGTACGATGTACTCAGCCGGATCAGCTTCTGCAATTCCTGATGAGTAATCAAGATAGCTCTCATCTAGCTGTTCAGTCTAAGTCTAGGGAAAAAGGGTGGATTGACCAAACTAATAGTTTTACCTATCAGCGTAAATTGTCTAATCGATCCATGGCAGATGTGAATTGTTTTAATTGCAAAGAAAAGGGACATCCTTACTCAAAGTGTCCAAAACCATTATCTCGGTGTATTAAATGTAACCGTTTTGGACACAAGGCTGAAACTTGTTTTTCGAAGAATGCTTCCAACGCTAAGTTTGATGATAAAAATAAATCCGAAGTAGTCTCAAATACAATGCGTATATCGACTTCAAAGTCTAATCGTAAATATATCAAGGATTGTAACATTAATGAATTAACGCTAAAGTGTTTTGTAGATTTTGGTAGTGAGGTCTCTCTAATTACTCAAACAGCAGCGAAAGGGTTGTGTCTGGCACCGAGTGGCTCTACTCTGCCCCTTAAGGGATTCGGTAACGAAATCGTTTACTCTCTGGGTAGGATCGAGATAGATTTAAGCATCGACGGTGTTAAGGCTAGGGTCACATGTCAGGTAGTAGATGATGCTTTGTTAGATGTACCACTTTTGATAGGTCAGTCCTTTACCGAGCAGAATCACATAGTCGTTTATAAAAATGCCAATGAACTGAAATTTTCTGATACCAATACCGGGTTTAATAGTTTTGAAACTAATCAATCACATGATGCCCTTGTACCCGTGCAGATTATCACTGATACTCATATATTTGGGCCTGTTGCGACTAAAGTTCGCGTCTACTCAATTCTATCAGGACATATTCTGTTAGATAGTAAGGTGATAGGGCGTCCAGATCAGCAGCTTTTGATAAGTGGTGGAGTTTATCAGGTAAGAAGGGGCTTTGCTTATGTTAGCATGGTTCCTCTGTCAAATATGATTTTACTTCTAGGAGGTATCGTCATCGCAAGGGGCATGAAAGTTCAACTAGTTAATCGAATTATAAATCCATCTGCTGACATTTCGATATCCGAATATGAGGGTGTCGATAAATCAAAAGTTCGCATAGGAGAAACTATTTCTGAGTTGCATAGACAGAGATTGCTAGAGTTATTAGTAAAGTACAAGCATTGTTTTGCCTCTAATTTAAAGAGCTTAGGATGCACTAATGTAGCGGAGATGGAGATAGAATTGAATAGTCATCGACCCATTGTGTATCGTCCCTACAGACTATCCCATAAAGAACGAGAGCATGTCAGGGATATGGTCGGAGAGATGCTAGAAGCTGATATTGTGCGTGAGTCTGTGTCAGAATATGCAAGTCCTATAATATTAGTTCGAAAAAAGGATGGTGGGTTAAGGATGTGTGTGGATTATCGAATGTTGAACTCTATAACTATCAAGGAACGATATCCTATGCCGGTTATCGAGGACGAAATCGCTCGTCTGTCAGGGCAGGCTTACTTCATTAGCTTAGATTTATTATCTGGCTACTACCAAGTCCCTATTGCTGAAAATTCGAAACATCTTACTTCATTTGTTACCCCAGATGGTCAGTATGAGTTCAATCGTATGCCGTTTGGGTTAGCAAATGCACCAGCCGTATTCCAACGCATGATAAATAAAGTCCTTGGTTCGTCTAGATTCTCTGATGC